ATCCGTAAGCTTCTCCTTGTTCCCTACAGTTAACCAGAAAATTATTACACATCGATATGGAAGATATTCATCAGTGATGAACCTTTCTGACATGGGAAGAAACGAGGACTTACTTCTTGATGGAGCAGGAGGTAATCCATCAGGAAATTCAATTACATTTGACCCGCCAGATCCAGATGCAAGAGCTCGTTGACGAGTTGTCAAAGTCATTTCCCTCTTCATCTCCATTGACGATTCAGCAGATTCCTTCTGCTGCTTCTTTTGCCCATTCCTATTGCCAGCCTCGTTTTCGTTATCCGAAGCAGATTCGCGCTCTTCTTCCTCATAATCCATATCGTCAGATCCTTTATCTGATCTAGATTTTCCCTTCTCGGAACCTTCCCCATTAGAGACTTCAGAGGGCTTTTGCTGCCTCCTTCCCGACTCCTCAGCGTCTTCTTTGAACGCAGAAGAAGCCCTTAACTTCAATTTTTCCAAATACCGGATCTCATCATCATCATCCTCTTCGCTAAAATCTCCATCAAATACTCTTCTCTTAGGGACCCGCTTGCTCTTGCGAACGGGGCCAGTTGGTTCCCCTTGTTTTTTCCTCCCCATCTCAGAGCTCTCTTTCTCTAGACTGAAATCCTTCCAACGGATTCCCTGAAGACCGACCTTCTTATCTTGAGGGGAGTTACAATCATCTGAATTTTCCTGTGATTACAAACATTTGAATGGAAAAGATAAAATCTCCAGGATTCTAACCGACGAGAAAACCAAGACAGGAAACAAATTAAGCCATAATTAATATTTTTCCATAAGAGCGAGAATGCAAAATTAGAATTCGCTTCGTCCAATCATCCGTCTCCACCTGTTTCCGAATGTAAATGTACCACAAAATTAATCTCAGGTTACTGGAGCAAAACACAAAGCATGCAAAAGAGAGAGATGTCTACTGATATTTAAAATAGCTCAATACAACCACATTGCAGCAGTATAACAAAAAGTAACTAAGGCTGTGAAAAAGTGTATGGAGAAGATAAGCAAACACAATAGGAAGGTAATTTCTGCAAATTACTGTTCGTTTTTTGCTCGGTCAGCTGAACATCTCAAGGCTGAATTAGGGTTTTTTTTACCTGAAAACTCTGCATTGAACAAAACCCAGAATCATCCAGAAGTCGATGACTCTTTCTAGATGATCCACCTTCTGATAAGCCATTAGCATGAATAGTGCGAGGCAGGCCACCGACCTTCAGCTTCACTTTCTTAACCTTTCCCTCCGACTCACCAAAATCAGCGATCTCGCCATTTCTACTGTTAAACCCTTCGTTACCTTCAAAGTCTGATTCCAACCCATCTTTCGCCTGGCTTGCATTTTTCCAGTTGGCAGGCGCAAGTACACCTTCGGTGGAACGTACATTCTTATTGAGCCCTCTTCCCCTTCTAGAAACATAGTTGTCTCTTCCAGATTCCGCTACTGTTGCAGCCCTGGACATACATTGACTAAGACTGAACTCTTTCCTTCTAGGGTTGGTATCGAAGGCAGGTATATCATCACTCGAGATCTTGCTGAAATCATCAGAAGGTGTAGATACCAATGGTGATGAACGTTCTTGGCCCTCGAGAAACCCAACTTGGGAATCAGGACGAGGACGGCGACAAGTCAAGCTCCTTTTTTTTCTAACAGTATTCTTCACACCATCGTATTGGCCACCGCCAGCACCCTCCATAGGAGATAAATGTATATATATACAATACGCACACACCCCTTAGTTCTTCCGACAAGCTTCTTAACGTATGCTTATCTGATGAATGGAGTGTGCAGAAGAATGTAATAAGCCATGCCCGAAAACTGGAAAAGACAGAAACGAACAGATTATATATGTTTTGTACGTAAACAGGTTCTCACGCGCACGCACACACACACTGAGATAAGGAGAAGATCCCAAGTCATATGTATGCGCAAAGACTACAATGAAGCCGAATCAGAGTTGAGTTAAACAAGCAACAGGTTACTGGGGCCATCTCCTGAATAGTGTGCCACAAAATTCGAACCCAAAACAAGATTTTGAAAACGGAAAGATATCTAATCAATGGAAACGTGCAGATTCATGACACCAACTCAATTCAAACGAGTGATCAAAAGGGTTACTACCATGAAC